TCGTCATATGACGAACATCATCAGAACAAGGTATAATCATCACAACAAAATTGAATCTAACGAGTCAAGAAAACTCCAATCTCTCAGCTTAAGTGTTGCTTTTTCTATTAAATGTAATCAATCCGTGCATTCTAAAAGGCTATTTCTATCCAGAATGTCGGAGAGAAAATCACTGCAAATAATCAAATAGCAGCGTATACTGTAATTTTGCTGATATTATGCTTAAGAAAAATCGTGCAAAACTGCAATCATTCATTAGATGGACGAAAGCTTAGCATCCTTAAATCGGAATTAAAGAAGATTACCTCGGAAACAGCGTCAGCATGAATGTTCCAGTAAAGCTAATCGACAGCTGGTCAAAAGGTATCCGCCGTCGTCTTCTGTTGGAATCGACCTTCGAATCTCTTCACCCAACACTTTCACTCGAAATGGAAGTAAACTCAACAATTATGAAACAAGATATTCCTCAAAACCCAACTTTTCTTCAATTATTTTCCCATATTTGCTGATTTTCTACTTTGTACTACAAATTTCCTGACTAGAAATTTAAATTGTCTACGTAATCGTGTTTTGAAGCAATGAGTTGTCGAAATTACTAATGATCAACGTTAAATTACTCAAGATGCGAAACTTGAAGCAAATAAATATAAAAATAAATAAGCATATATATATATATATATATACCAAGAATGCGAGAGAGAGAGAGAGAGAGATAGGAGGAATGAGAATTTCCCCGCCCATACTTATGTTTCTGTCATATATCTATGGTCTGTGCTTAGATTTTTGCATCCTACCTCTTTGTTTGCATCTATAATGTTCCGTAAAACCATAAAGTATGCGAGTAGTCTCTTATTCTTGATGTTTGTGTGCGTATATATATATATATATTGTTGCCAGGTCGATTTCCTGGTTCATAGAACGGTAAAAACGATGCTGTGTAGCGAGTATCGGGGACAAGAAGACTTCTGAAATTTATTGTATCCATGACTCGGCTAGTCTGGCGGAGAATACTTGAGCATGTATGCGCACACCCATAAAAATATGCATACATACAGGAATAAACAAACATGAGCGCGCTTGTATACACATGAAAGAAAATAGATCCATGGAGTAGTGCCTATATCAAATGCAGCTGGGTCCACATTTGAACTATTCCAAAGCATACTTATCAAATTGATGCATTTGGCTATTGCCTCTGGTATTCCAAACTTGACATGAGATTTGTCCGTCAGCCGTTTTGCTGCCTCCCTTTGAGAAACACTTATTCGAATGGACGACCCAGAGTGATGAGTTCAGGTCTCGCACAAAAGTGAGTCGGAATAAAGAAATTTTGCAGCAGCCCCTTGGATTCCCTTTAACAGGGCCTTATAAACTGTTTCTTTCTTGACATTATACGAGTAGTCAGTGCGAGTAGTTTTCTAATCCATCAGTAATTCGTATATAAGAAATTTTGTTATACTTGGGCATTTAGGGTGATTTAAAGAGTAATTAACTTTCACTTAGCCTTGGCTTTCATAAGTTTTTCTTCCCAGGCTGGAATTAAATTTTGACCTCGTATAGTTCAACGGGATTCGAATTT